TCATTACAGTACCAGAAAAGAGACCCCCTTCTTCCCTGAAGACCAGAAGCTTCCATGTGTACTCTTGCCCATAGCCCAGAAACAGTAGGGGCAGGTCTATGGATGTAAGAGGGACTTACACATCTTCTCAATGTTCTTGAATTCAAATTTCTGCCACTGATAAATCCAGTCACCAAGTCAGCTCCTAGGCTGCTAAAGGGTCAGATCAGTATTGACAGTCTCTAACAAAAAATGGTTACACATGAAGCAATGGGGTTGGCCAATCTAGTTGCCACCAGAAGAGAGCTGCGCTGAATCTCAAGGTTCAAAGATCCATGAATTGCACTTCTATTGGTGAGCAGATGTTTTCAGCTTTCCCTAACAGGCAGGTAAATAAGCCTCCACTTCATCTTTCCACACTGAATCCACCTACGAAGAGCAAACAGACACTGTAGAAACTTTTCCTACCCCCAATTCTGAGGTAAAGTAAAACGTGTCTTACCTGGAAACCTTCCTACAGTGTTTAAAACAAAATCCACCTGTGGATGATGCTACACAAAACAGGACACGTGTCTATGAACATATAGAAGAAGGAAGTGCTATGAATAACACCTGCAACCTGCATCCCAGAATGTAGCCAGTAAAGTGTCTGTGTGGGATGGGGATAGCGGATGTGGCCGTGTGTGGCTGGTTAGCAGAAAAACAGCAAAGGAGGGCAGCCCATGAGAGCGATTAGAATGTTCTATTCCTCTGTGGATAATATGTAGTTTCATTTAAACAAGAACACAATCGCCATTAACTTAATTTGTAAAAGCAATTACTCCGACACTCATAGCTAGAGCCCCAGTAAGGAAGTTTGTAGACCCACCATTGCTACTTTGAAATTAAAAGTGAATCAGTCCTGTGGAGTTAACGACCAGTAAATACAACTTAAAGTAGGTCTCCCACATGGCACTGAGTCAGCGGAAAGATGCTGCTCAGTGTCAGCCAGCGACATGGGTCAGGTATACCCCTGAAAAGCCAAGTTTATGTGTGTGGCAACTGCTGATAGGAGCAGTGGGAGGGATCATTCTGCAGCATCCACAGTGGGAGCTTGGGGTAAATGTCTCATTAAAGAAGATCATTGTAATAGACATTTAGAAAATGGCCTTTCCTTCCGCAGTAAGAGAAAAACTCTCGGCTCTATGTTGTGTTGTAGCCTCTGCCTTACAAAACCTGAATTTACAGAAAGGAAATTATACCATTTAAAAAATAGTGTTGGTGCAAGAATTCTAAAGAAATCACATAAAATATAACTCATTTTATAAATTAGACATATATTCAGTACCC